CAACAACAGTGTATTTCTTCTCATTCTTAAGACTCAACTTGAGGAACAAAGGAAAAATATGATGCAAAAGAAGGTATGATGTTCAAGAAGTTTGTTTTTTTCCTGTTCTTAAAATTTAGAACATTTTGTTTTCTTTAGATTCCAAGTAATTCAGGTGCAGAAACCTTACTTCAGATTAGAAGTCATAATAACTAGATAAAGAATAGAAATAGTTTAGTCTAAAGATGGAATTGGAATCTTGCTTTTACCATTTTATATCTCATTAACTTTTATTTTTTTGAGTTTCAGTTTCTAATTCTGTAGCACAGGTATTACATACCACTAAACCCAACTGGGTGAGAGAGAGTTAAAACTAAGAAGGTATGTGACACATCTAAATCCCTGGCTCACCGTAGGCAATCAATGAATGTTCATGGTCTGTTTCTTTTTTCCCTTCTCCAAATTAAATTTGACAGTGTTGTTTTTACTCTCCAAGATACTAGGGTGAGTAAAAGCAACAACTAAATGGAATAAGTCTTTCTGATCTGAAATTTTGAAATAGGTAAGTAGAGAAATAAAACTAGCATGAGACAGAGTGAAAGGCAGACTTATAAAACCCACAAGAAGTTGAGGTACTATTAATCATTTCTATTGTCCTTTTGGCTATGATGATGAGATTATATTTCATCCTCAGTGAGGTGAGGAATTATTAAAACTTTGAAAAGTGAAATTAAAAGTGTTTCATAAAAATGAAAACTGCTTCCAACTTTCAGGTGTTTTATCAGAACACTGTTTCAAAATGAAAGGCCTCTCAATCATTCATTCAAAAGTGCCTGCTATTTGCCAACTGAGTACAGAGGGTATGCAAGAGAAGGTAGAATAATACTTATTAAAGACATAGTACATGATAGGTGGTGTCAGGCATATACCATTATATAGTTTGCTAGGGTTACCCCAAGAAGATACCAACTGGGTGACTTAAGCTGATTCTAATTCTTTCACAGTTCTTCTGGAGGCTGGAGATCAAGGTGCAGGTAGAATTGGTTTCTCTGAGGCCTCTCCTTAAAGAAGGGCTGCCCTTCTACTGCCTCTTTGCACAGTTTTCCATTTGTGCATGAGTATCTCTGGTGTTTTTGTGCCCAAGTGCTTGTTATCAGGTCACCAGTAAGAATGGATTAGGGTCTACTGACACAAGCTATGTAATTTATGTCAGCTGACAAATTCTGGACAGAAAGGGAACGGTCTGAAAAATCAGTTTCCATTGCTGACTTATGTTACAACCTCTCTTTTTTGTATAATCATAATATCAAAAATATTCTAGCACATCAGTTTGCAACTGGATTGCCTTAGCTTCAAATTGGCTACCTGTCAGGGCAAAGTACGAGCCATCCCAGGGCGGCTCTGGAGACAAAAGGCAAGATCCTAGAGAGATAAGATCCCTGGGAGCATCAAGAGTCTTGGGAAGTTTCCTTGGTCATTTGAAACAAAAAGCGAATCTTAGATAACTCCCAGGGCATAAGGACCTACGGACAATTTCCTAATGTTATTGACACAGGTTTTGCTTAATGTATAACTATGTGACTTCCTCTTAATTTACTCTTTTCCTAAAACAATCACTAACAACCCTCTGCTAGTCTTAATTAACCTTTTCCTAAAACAAACACTAGCTACTGTCTGCTAACCTTAAGTTAGCCATTAGCTTTTCTTTAGACTGTCACTGACGACTCTGCTAATAGAATTTATTCCTTCCCTAGGACTCCTAAATCCCTTGCTAACAGCTCATCTTTTCCCAGACCCCTTATCCTTTGAAGTCATAGTTAAACATCCATATACATGAAAGTTATCACAAAGATGTATAGTTTAGTATGCCATAAAGTGTCAGGAAGAGGATGCATTGTTCCCCTCTTCCTTTAGAACTTTTTATCCTGATTTCTTATTAACTTACCTGATGCATTATTGTAACTATCCCTTGTTAAACAGTATAAATAAAAACCTGCAAAAAGATGAGCAGGAAGACTTGCATCCAACTCTGACTCCCATGTCTTCCTTGTACTTTCTCTCCTTTCCCCCCCTTTTTTTAGGAATCTCGCTCACTGATGCCACTCCCACCTCAAACCCTGCCTGTTCTGCCCTCTGATAACCCGTGATCGGGCCTGGTCCTCGACCATAATGGGATGACCTCATTTAATTTAGTCACCTTTTATAAAGACTTATTCCCAAATACAGCTACATTCCAAGGTTCTAAGAGTGAGAGTTTCAACAAATGATTCTGGGGAACACAACTGAACTGGTAAGAAACATAGTATTACTTGAACATTACCTTATTTTATAAATGAGGTATCAGGCTCTGAGAAAAGAGCTAACTCATAAAATGTCACCTATAAAAAAGGAAAAAATACTAACCAAGGTCTCATTATGAAAACAGCAATACATATGCTATTCCTATCATTTGAAGAACTAACAATCTAGCTCGGAAGATGCAGTACCGACTCATGGGACATTATACATGGAGTCACTGATAGGCAGGGACTTACTCAATGGACTTGTATCATTATTTGGATATAATGGATTCTGAGCTTATAAACATTGATAGGATACTTATTACACATTAGGCGAGGTTCTTCACCAGGGTCCCATTGGTTCTTTTATGTGAAGAACTGATGACTAGCAAACAGAAAGAGTCTTACTGTATCTTGTTCCAAAAGATGATCCTAAGCCAAAGTTGAATAAGAGAACTTCCTAGAATGAGTATCTTAGGTACAACTTCTGTATATGGGTGAAGTCTATATACTAATCTGCACCCCCCCATGTATGAAACTGCTAATTTACTATATAGATTTTTTTAATTATAAATTTTTAATCTGAGGTAATTTGGGAATACCCCCAGCAGATAATTACCACCATAGTGCACCACCAACTCACCCATATTCCACCACTACCCACCACTGTGCTTCCTTCCCTCTTTGTTCTTATCCCCTCATGTCTTTTCCCCCACTTGGTGCTTCAGTTCCTATAGACAGCTATCAAGGGTTAGTTTTTAAGCTTTCTTTTATCTGACTATTAGTTACTTTATATTCCACATAACAGAGCTTTATAATTTTTTATTTCATTGGCAATATATTAGTGGGCTTTCAGCTTTGTGGCATCTTAGGATGGACTAGAAAAGCCCTCTACACTGTATCCTGACATTCTCACTGTGTGTCCAGGAGTGACAGTTAGGTTAGATTGTAGTCAGCCTAGCACCTGCTGTGCTATGGATGACCCTATATTGTTGTATAAAGGTCAAAAGTACCTTTTTGTCTCGTGCTTTATGTTGTAATCTACATTGTGTTAAACTGTTTTTATGTTAGTTAAATAACTTATATGCCAAGACTGTGTTACATTATTTCTAAAAAAAATTTACTAAGGTCTGTATACCAGGAATGAATGCATATTTTAAAACTTTAGCATATGTTAATTGCTGGATTCCTGGAATCTAGAGATAAAACTCCCATGTGAAAGATACCTGCCCTATGCCAGGAGGAAATAAACCAAAGAGAGTCAACTGTGGAAAAGTAAGTGAAAGATATAAGGAAGCTAAAGGAAGATAAGAATTGTTTTAAACAATTCTGCTGTACAGATTTCCCATGACCTTACTTTCCTTCACTGATAATACAAACTCCATGAGGATAAGCTGTTTCTCTATTCAACTTAGTATATAAACACAGCCCTAGTCACTTTTTTTGGTCTTCATTTTCCTATGGGGGTTCCTGTGTGTACATGATAATATATATGTTTTTCTGCTGGTAAATTGTTGTAGATTAATTTTTAATTCCAGGCTTAGTCTTGAGATTATAAGTAAAGTTTTATCTCCTCCAAACCATGTAAATCCTATACATACACATATATACTTAAACACATACATATGCATAAAACACTTGCCATTTTATTTAGGGGCTATGAAAGCCTTAAGAGGCTGAATTGTGGACAAACATGACTGTTTCTTTAAATTCTCTGCATATCAATTATGCCATTCAAAAAACACATTCATCTGATTTTTAGTATTATCTATAATTTTGCTTCTCTTCTAAAGTATTAATATTAAATATTAATATTAAATAGCATTCTTATCAATAATGAGAGTTCAGTTGTGATATTTCTAATGTCTCAATTGAGTTAAGTGGGTGGAAGAGGTGGGAGTAATATATTAGAATCCTGAGGAAAAACGGGAGGGCAGATAAAGGGCTTTGCTTCACCAATACTTTTATGAATTTTTAATCAGAGTATTAAATGTTTTGAAATTTAAAATAATGTTAAAATAAGCATATGCACTTAATAAAAAGAGGTTAAGAAGTCCAGTGTAAAAGAAATTTTTCAAATCTGGAGAAATCAGAAATTTCATGGTTTGTTTCTAGACAAAAGGCAAAATTTGATGAATGTTTTGAATTGAACAGAATCAAGAGACAACTCAAAACACATTTAATTCAGTAAATATACACACACAGTTATGTTCTTACAGAATTGTGCAGAGGGACTGAATAGGATGATGGTCTAAAATTTAAGAGAAAAGTAAATCCTGAAACACTAAGCACATGCATTTTTATTCTGATATTCTGTGTTTCCTGCTCTTCTCACCTTTGCATATATTTGCAGAGAGCTAACTTAATCACCCCTTCTCATTTCTACTTCCTGGTGCCTTCTATACAGTAAATATAAAATTGGGGATACATGCTCAGGTTGGGGACTTCTTTGACCACTGAATTTCTTTCTCCTCAAGCTGGTTATCCAAAGACAACTAAGATTTTCAATCTAGGCTTTTTGGCTTTCAGTCCCAGAACAATCTTACTCAAAAGATTTTCACAGAACCATTATTTCCCACCTGCTGTAAGGCTGGAGCGCAGTGATAAGGTTCAAATCATTCAATTTTCACAGCTGGAGGTAACGGAAAGAATGCTTACAATGCAGGCCTTCCCAATCCAGAGACTCTATGTATATATGTGACAGACATGATCCCACTCTCCTGAAATCCAAGGAATACCTACCTCTAGCTTCAGAACATCATGTTGAAGTTTCCGCTGAAATTCAAGGAAGTTTTTGATTGTTAGTTTTCCTTTAAGATCCGCTCCAAAAAAGTAGGTTGTGAGGGCTGAACATAGACCTGTCTTCAGGGTGTTACCAGTAGTAGGCCGATCTCTGTGACGCATACCCATACTGGTTTGGGAGCGAATGATGCTTTGAACCTAACAGAGAAGTAAACCGCTATCAGGAAAAGCATTTGTAGTGGAAAAATATAGAAGAGTAAGAACAATAACTGACTATGAACTGCTTACTATTTATCTATATCCTCGTCATGCTTTCAATAATCCTATGAGATAAATCATATGATCATTCTCATTTTACAGATGAGGAATTAAGAGACACAAAGTAAAATGACTTGCTCAAGGTCAAGTAGAGAGCAAGCAACAGAACCAACACTTATTTACAAAGATAAGGTAATTATCAATCTTAAAGTAAAACCTTCCATACCTCAAGACTTTAAAAAATTTCACACTTTTCACTAATACCCAGCTGTGATAAGAGATAAGACAGATGTAGACAAATATTTTACATCTAAAAGAGATTAACATGTTTATAGGAATGGTACATGAAATAAATAATTGGAATAAAATAATTTTCCAAGAAAATTATTAGCTCAACCGTTGAGAAGTCTTAAGTGAACATTCCGAGAAAGGATAATTTTTAGGACTAGCAGTTATGGCCTAACTATGTAAGTGAGGTTTTTGAGGTGTATCTGTGATTGCTATAGCTTAAAAAAACTTTACAAGACCAGAAAAACCACAAAAAACAAAAAAATTCAGAATAATTAAAATTGTATTTTTTATATGTAGCTAATAAAGGTAGATTATATAAACATAACATAGTCTTGTGGATCATGATTTTGAATTACCCAATTAGAAAACATAATAAATCAGAACCTAAATTTTGTAATGATGGATTTATTTACCTTATGCCCCTTCTTTTTTTAAATTGAGGTAACTATGGTTTATAATACTGTATTAGTTTTAGGAGTACAGTTTTATAATTGGAGATCCATACGTAGTATATTGTGATAACCACCAATTAAATGTCTTTTATTTGTTACCTATGGCCATAAAAACATTTATTTGAGATAAACTAAAAGTCTCTGGCTCTATAAAGAGTAGAATATTATACTGGAATATAGATGGCAATATAGTAACATGGGGTCTGGTTCTGTTGTTGTATAGTGAAAGCAGAATTGAGGCAGGTCATTTAACCTCTTCAAGCCTTACAGTTTTCACTGGAAAAAGTTCAAGATTAAAGCTCATTATTCAAAACCTAACAAAAGAGGTAAAAGACCTAACCAATGAAAATTATAAAACAGTGTTAAAAGAAATACAAGAAGATACAAAGAATGGAAAGACATCCACTGATCATGGGGCAGAAGAATTAACATTAAAATGGCCATTCTACTGAAAGTGCTATACGGATTTAATGCTCTTTTAATAAAAATCTCAGTGTCATTCTTCAAGGAAATAGAATAAATATTGATGAAATTTAGATGGAACCAAAAAAACCTGAATAGCCAAAACTCTCCTGACTAAAATGAAAGAGAGCTCCCACACTTCAAGCTATATCACAAAGCCATAGTAATCAAAACTGCATGGTACTGGACCAAGAATAGACATACAGACCAGTGGATTTGAATAGAAAACCCAGATACAAACCCACAGGTTTATGGACAGGTAATCTTTGACAAAGGAGCAAGAAATATGCAATATAACAAAAAAATTTGTTCAACAAATGGTGCTGGGACAACTGGGCTGCTATGTGCAAAAAATAAAGCTACTACCTTGCATTGTGCACAAAACCCAACTCGAATGGATTAAAGAATTAGCCATAAGACCCAAAACCATATATCTATAAGAAAAGTGCTATGTATATCTATAAGAAAAGGTGGGTGAAATACTACATGAGATACACCTCAGTAACATCTTTAAACCTCAGTAACATCTTTAAAGATACATCACCTAAAACAAGTATAGTGAAGAAAAGTATAAATAGCTGGAACTACATCAAGTTAAAGAGGTTCTGTACAGCAAAAGAGGACATTACACAAAATAGACACCACACTGATCGACAGAAAGATTTTGCACACAATACTAATGACAAAGGATTGATTACAAAGATCTACAAAGAGGTGATTAAACTCAATAAAAATAAAGCAAACAACTGCATTAAAAATGGGCAGAAGAGCTAAAGAGACACTTCTCCAAAGAGGAAATGCATACAGCCAACAAGCATATGAAAAAATGTCCAGTATCACTTGTAGCAATGAGATACCATCTCATACCAATGAGAATGGCACATCTTAAAACAACTAGAAACAACAAATGTTGACAAGGATGTGGAGAGAAAGCTACACTGTTGTAGGAATGCAAACTGGTACAATCACAATGGAAAGCTGTTTGGAGGTTTCCCAAACTGCTAAAAATGGAGCTTCCGGCCCTCCCTGGTGGCGCAGCGGGTTAAAACACAGCACTAAGAAGCTAAAGCCACTTCTGCATGAGTTCAATTCCTGCCGCCTGCCCCGGTGGTGACCACATGGCGTGGCAGATTTCTCCTGACCCACCCGCTGCTCCCCTCAGCAGTGTACTTCATAGATCTGCCTGTTCTGCTTCCCACTCTGTCTCTGGTGAAGCCTCTCGCCGCCCCTGAGCCTCTGGCCTGTACCCAAGTTCTGTATGCACAAATAAATAAATCTTTAAAAAAAAAAATGGAGCTTCCATATGACCCAGCAATCCCACTCCTAGGTATCTACCCAAAGGACACAAAAAACATTAACTCAAAAGGACACCTGCACCCACATGTTTATTGCTGCTCTACTTACAATAGGGAAGATGTGAATCAACCCAAATGCCCAAAAGGAGATGACTGCATTAAAAAGATGTGGTACATATACATAATGGAATATTATTCAGCAATCAATAAGATAAATTCATGCCTTTTGCAGCAACATGGATGGAGCTGGAAAGGATCATGCTTAGTAAAATAAGCCATAAAGAAAAAGAAAAATACTGGATGGTTTCACTCATAGCAGGAGCATAAAGGGCAAGAAAAAAAAGCAATTCAAATAATGAAAAACAATGAACAACTATAAACCAGAGACATTTTACAGGGGTGGAAAGGGGTATAGGATCAAAACTAAGGTGGGGCGGGAAGAGTGCACGGCACTATGGTGATGGCACATGGGTGAACTGGTGGTGGGAAGTCCATGGGGATCACAACTAAGATGAAAAAATGCACAAAATGAAGAATGATACAAAAAATAAATTAAAAAATAAATGAATAAATAAAAATATCAAAGGAAAAGGAAGAAAATTTAAAAAACAGAAAAAAAAAAGCTCATTATTCATAAGTGTCCTTATAACCCTAGGTTAGTATCGGAAGTTTGCTTTATGATTTTTTTCTAAGTATATATTTTATCATGTAAATAGGATTGGCTGGCACCTGTTTCTCATACACATGAAGCCTTGAAAGACAGGTATATAATTATGTAAGTTGCAGTTCTTTAAACATTAAATAGAAATACAAAATAATTTCATCTGTTTAAATGCAATACACCATGCATAAGTGTGAGAAATAAAGGATTTTCTTTTTTTTTAAATAAAGATTTATTTATTAGTGTAGAAGAACTGGGGTGTAGGCCAGAGGTGGGGATTGGTAAAAGGATTCACCAGAGACAGAGTGGGGAGCAGTCGGTGACAGGAGAGGTCTGCTGCTCCATATTTGGATCAGTTCCATTGTAGGGGATCAACTCAGTGAACTCAAGCCATAATGGTGATAGCACTGACACTTTACCTCAAGGTTGCCAGGGAGACACAAAAGGAGTGTTTCTAGAGAATATTAATGCTATAGATATTCATTAATGACCAGTAATAGCAAAATCCAAATGTCCCAATTATGTGTAAAATAATGATTTAGAAACTTAAAATTATATATTATTAATTCTGTATATGTAATACACCAGATACATTAAAAATTGGATAGCATTTAGCGTCTGAGTATATGGACCAAAGTAACTCCAAGGCACATGCCAATACTAATGTAATAACAGGAACCATTCAGGATGACTTGCCTGTTCAAACTCTTCCATGTCTACTTCTCCATCTCCATTCAAGTCAAACATCTTAAAGGCAATCTCAAAATTTCTCTGAGGAGCTGCAAGTAGATAGGGAGGAAAAGAAGAAAGAGAAGAGAGAAGGAGGTGGGAAGGACAAAATGAAAAATATTTAGAATTTTAGACCTTGACCAAAAGTTAAAAATTCATTCCTTTAATAAAAACAGAAAGTGGGCCCTCCCTGGTGGCGCAGCGGGTTAAAGCACAGCACTAAGAAGCTTAAGCCACTTCCTCATGAGTTCAATCCCTGCCTGCCCCGGAGGAGGCCACATGGCGCGGTAGACCTCTCCTGACCAGCCCGCTGCTCCCCTCAGCAGTGTACTTCCTGGATCTGCCTGTTCTGTTCCCCACTCTGTCTCTGGTGAATCCTCTCATCCTCAGCGTCTCTGGCCTATACCCCAGAGTTCTGTATGAATAAATAAATAAATCTCTAAAAAAAAAAAACAACAAAAAACAAAACAGAAAGTGAATTATAAAATGTGATATCAAGTCAGAGAAAGCCATCATATTTATCTTGGTTAACCTTTACCAATAAAGAACACTAGCCTATTTTTGTTTCAAAAGTACTCTCTTAAGTACTTTGTCTTTGCTTTCTCAGACACTATCATCTTAACTGTATAACGTTAATGTTGTTCTGTTACTAAAATACAGCATTATTTATTCAAGTATGAAAATCTACCTGGGGTGAGACTTGAAAATAAGAAGTTGAAATTCTAAGTCTTGGTCTTGCCTTTTAAAAACAAGCTAGCATTCTAATCTCTCCATTTTAAGTAGAACCAAGAATTCTGTGGATGCCATTATGCCTACAGATTATTACTTATACTTGTTTACTCATTAGTACTACTGCTTTGTTGTAAGGAAGAAAGCATACTGTTAGCAACTCAACCTCCTATTTCAACAATTTCAGCTAGGTACACAAATGACTAAGTAAGGTATACTTGAATGTTAAAATACAGCTTAACTTTAAAAACAAACAAGAAAAATGGAAAGCTTGAGAAGATGGCTTTTTTCCCCTTAAGTAAATGACAGAAGTTTGTCAAGCCTTCTTTAATATTCTGAGATCACTAAAAATAATTAATATACATGTGCATAAGAATAAAACACAAAATCAATAGCCCCCTTCTTTACCATGCAAAATATTCTGGTAATGAAAACTAAATTATTACTTCTCTTGGTGCCTTGATTTATGTAGCTATAATCAATGTAATGTAATGTATGTAAAGAATAAAACAAAATATCTCTTATATTGTAATACTACTGAATTAAAATTTCAGTTTAATTCTTTTTCAGCTGGTTAGCTAGCTAGGCTCGTTAAGCACTTCGTTATTGTTCCCTGGGTGAATCATGTGCCCATCAGTGTCCAATTGTCTGCCACATTTGATGTTGGCTTCTATCAGGTTTGCTCTTCTTTAAGCCAATACTATAAGAATAGATGTAGCTGGGGAATTAAATTTTTGTATTTTTATTGTCATATCTTATTTTTTTTCTGTCTGGGTGTTACCTTTTACTGAATAATTACTATGTGCCAAGCACTGAGCTAGATAATTTAAAGCTGTTGATTATCTGATTTTGTACTTGCAATTCTGAAGGTTTTATTTCTTAATTTTTTAAATCAGGAGAAAATTGAGGTTCAAAATCATTACAAATAGTTGAAAATCACAGAGTAAATATGTAGCAGAACTGGTAAATGAACCTAGGTCAATGCTGACTCAAAGCCCATATTCTTTTCATTATACTCCACAGCCTATAATATGAAGTCAGTGGTAGCCATAATAAAGAGCATACTTTTTACTGATATGTTTTGACCTAGAAATAAAAAAAAATATGACTCATTGGTTACATCATTCTCTGTAATAACTGAGAGTTCCAAGTTGTGCACCTGAAGGACATAGCTAACATCAAAGAAACACTGCATATACCATGCTCAGTGGTTTAGATTTGACTTGTTAACTGGAGGCCTATCAACAATTGGAGGTCTATAGTCATTGAAAGTTTTAAGTAGGAGAAGGGCACAATCTAATAGGCATTCATAAAGTATTACTCTATGTCGTGAAGGATGAGTTGGAAAATAAGAATTAGCTTCAGATTTTCAGATCAAATCACAGGTCATATGTTTTTAAAAATTAAGAATATTCAGGAATGCATTCTTCTATTCTCTAACAATTCTCATACTTGATCTCTTCACTTACGTGTATTATTTGCCTCTCCTTGTAGATACTTGACACCATACCAACTACAGACAACAGGTACTCAATGAAAGTTTTAAGTAGGGAAATGACACTCATCAAAGTACACTGCTGAGGGGAGCAACGGGCGGATAAGGAGAGGTCTGCCATGCCATGTGGATCAACTCTGGGGCAGGTGGGGATTGAACATATGCTGAAGTGGCTTTAGCTTCTTAGTGCTGTGATTTAACCCACTGTGTCATCAGGGAAGGCCCTCAATAGCTAATTTTGATGCACAAATAGTTTTGGGTACAGACACTGAACAAGAAATTGCTCCTTTAAAAGAAATAATCAATTATTGGGTTGTTAGAAAAGTAATGACATTAAAAAAAGTGTAGTGACTTTCTTGAAAACCCAATATAATCTTTATTGCATTCCCTTAAGAGTGCTTTAGACCTTTGAAGACAGTTTAAAATTAGGAAAGAGCTGACCTCATAAACCACAGGGCCAACCTTGGGGAAAGATACCCCATATGCAATGTACAGTCATGCCTACGCTCAGTACAGTGCCTACACAAATGCAAAACTGTGATTTACCAGTGTGTAGTCAGTTATAGGCTATCTTGGACCCCACTAAAATAGGAGAGAGGAGTTAAGTTGCTATTTCCAGCAACACTAATAGAAGGATCCAGTTAGAAATTCTGATCATAAAGAAAAAAAAAAAACCAGAAAATTAACGCATATTGTAGAAAAGACTTGAATTCATATTGACTTACTTTTGCTTTTATTTGAAAGATACCAAAACAATAAAATAAGAAAGTCACTGTGAGCTTATTACCATTACATATAGGCTCTGCAATGGCAAAAGCGAGCTCTTTATTCTTTGTTGTATGGCAATAGGCAAGGCTTCAGTTGCAAAGACATTCCTTACTACTGCTTTTCTACCTTTTGCATTTTTTTCTAGAAAATATATTTGAGCCCCTATTCTAAAATAAAAAAGACCAATAATTTCACACTTAATGAAATAGCTGATGTCTCTAGATCATAGAATATATTTTTTGAGCTCTGTCTCAGCCTCAGCTAATGAATGACCTTCAGAGAACCACCAGAAACAGTCTTTCATTTAAATTGCTCTTTCTCACACTGTTATTTGACAGTGTGCTACAGGAAGGGTATTAAGTGTCAGAGATGTCAAAAAGATTGGATTCCCCAAATGTTCATGGGAGACACTAAAGGCATATAACTTAGTGCATTATCCTTGCATTAAGGTCACTTTCTACTGTAAATGGATTTTCTTTAAATGTATGTTACTATTTTTATGCCCAAATTACATATGCCTGTGTGATAGGCCCCCTCAACCTCAGTGTTCAGAAATAATTTTTTTTAAATAACATAATAGTTTATTTTTACATCATTTTGTGCCTTTTTCCATCTCAGTTGTAATCCCCGTGGGCTTCCCATCACCAAATTAACCCTGTGCCATCACAATAGTCCAACTCACTTTCCTCCCACTACTGTTTTTGATCCCATTCCACCCCTGTAAAATGTCTCTGGTATATAGCTGTTCATTATTATTATTTTCTCGCCTGGTCCTTTATACTCCTGCTATGAGTGAAACCATCCAGTATTTTTCCTTTTCTTTCGGCTTACTTCACTAAGCATGATCTCCATCCATGTTGCTGCAAAGGCATGTGTTTATTTTTATTTTTATTTTTTGGTTGCTGAGTAATATTCCATTGCGTACATGTACCACATCTTTTTAATCCAGTCATCTACTTTTGGGCATTTGGGTTGTTTCCATGTGTCTTACCAATTGTAAGTAAAGCATCAGTAAACATGGGGGTGCAGGTATCTTTTTGAATCAGTGTTTTTGTGTCTTTTGGGTAGATACCTAGGAGCAGGATTGCTGGGTTGTATGGAAAGCTCCATGTTTAGCAGTTTGAGGAACCTCCAAACAGTTTTCCATAGTGGTTGTACTAGTTTGCATTCCCACCAGCAGTGCAGGAGAGTTCCTTTTTTTCCACATCCTCGCCAACATTTGTTGTTACTAGTTGTTTGAAGATGTGCCATTCTCTCTGATGTGAGGTGGTATCTCATTGTGGTTTTAATTTGCATCTCCTTAGATCATTTTTAAATATCACCTGCCTAATATTCACTTCATTCTATGTGGTTTTTCAAGCTATCACAAGTTCTCAATAATAGTTAAAGTGAAAGCTTATGCCAAAATACTGTTTTTTTCATAGATAATTATGATTAGAAGCTTTAATAAGAGAATAGACTTTTATAACTTGATCCATGCTGATTTGGAGGACTCTCTTAACATGTAACTAAGCTTGGCATGTGCCTATCTGAAAGCAGTTTTTCAATTTAACATCCAAATAGAAAAAAAACTTAGCTTATTTTATTTTCTAGTTTTCATTATGTGTTGTATTATTATTTTTAAACAGTTTTAAAATCTAGGCAGATGTACAAGGTTCTTGAAGTACTATAAAGTTCTAATATGTATTATAAGGTATCTATTCAGCAAAATTCTTAGACATTTATTTAGACAAGAAATATATACTGAGTACTTATTATGTATCAGATACTGTGCTGTATAGCTTCACCAGAAGGAACAATGATTAAACAATCCACACCATGATAACGACTATTTCTTGCTTTGATTTCCTTTTTCTCACCTCAAATTCCCTAGAACAAGTAATTTCTAAAGTTGTTCTAGAAAAAGTAAGCAACACATGATGAGGCTTGAGCATAACCAAATACTATTAAGTTGTGAGTTTTAGGGAGAGGTCAGGTAAATATAAATATTTTCATCCAATTTATAAGCGGTAAACAATGTAAAAAAAGAAAAAAAGCCAGGACTTAGAGACCATAAACAAGGATTTTTAAACACCATCAATTATGGAGATCTGAATCCTATCAGCGTTCACAAAACAGAAGCAAGACAGGGTTGGACTGAGAAAGGAATGGACAGAGATCAGAAGAACTATGACAGACTGTAATCTAAGAAAATTTCTTTAAGCTGTTTTAGGAAAATGAAGGAAACACAGGAAGAAAGGGAAACTTAAGTTTATTTGACAGTGTAGTCAAGGGTATGGAGATGAACGAGTGACTGGGCCTCCTTTCTACCTAGCAGGAACTAAGAGAAGCCACATCCCAAATATCCTTTCATTAAGATATATTTAGAGCAACTACTGTTACTTGGATACTGTGCTAGGTACTTTGAGGATAACAAGTCAAATGACACAGTTTCTACATAAAGGTATTTAGTGATACTATATCCACTGCCTAAACATTATCAATCAGAAATTCTTTTGAATTAACATGTATTTTCTAACAAATATCTCATCAACTCTTTATTCAATTAATTACTTCCTTATTTCCACAATTAGGTGATGTTCCCCCTAAATCAATATAATTTTTCATATTCCTACATACTCCCTATAAAAAATGCAAGGAAAAGTTGATTTAACCATAAGTCATATAGATCTATAAGCCATTTACCTCAATAAAAAATATGATTTAAAAAGTAGACAAAATGACAACACAGTTAATAACAAAAAAGTGTATACTTACTAGAAAGAACAGTTGTAAGGAAAATATAGTCTGAAAAGGAAATGAGTCCACATTCTCCAAGGGTGTAAAAGATGCTGCCTTCATCAGCAAATTTTTCTCGTTCCTGAGCAATTTTCTATTAAACATATGGGTTCCACCAAAAGGTAAAAAGGAGATAGAACAGAATAGTGAATAAATATTAGAGATGAATCAAATTTAATTGACAGTTTTATGTTATTTCTCATAAGCGATTCTCTGATGGCCATTCCAAATTAATGGATCCTTTACAGTTTTTAAGATGATGAAAACAGTAACACAAAGACTTTGTTCCAACACTGGCTTCATGCAAACATTGGGAAGTAACTTCAATTTTATGACTTCCTGACATTTAACAAATACAAGCCTACTTCAGGATTGCTTTTATTTCTTAGTTTTAGAAATAATCATCTTTGATAGAGGTAGATAAGGTACGAACAAAATTTAAAAGAAATGAAAATACAAATGAAGTCAGCTCTAATTGCCCAAGGAAAACATCTGCTTATGATCAGAAATGAAGAGATAAGTAACTATTTCTAAGGCTCACACAAAAGCTCAAAAAACTAATATCTGAAATACTATTTTAAATTTTATTTTATGACTCCAACAAGTTTAGTTTGGAAATGTAGAGCAGACCGCAGAGGAAACAACTCTGAAATATCATCAGACATACATGATAATGGTGTAATATGATCATTTTTACCATAACCTTGATAAAATTTCAGCTATTTGGGATAACTATACAAACATTTAGCTTTTACTCTAAATATACATTCATTTTCTTTATTCTATAAAGTTTACAGAGAGTTAATTCTCAGCCTCAATAATGACCTCTCTGGCAAGTAGGTGTTCAAGCAACTGATTCTATATTTTGAAACCTGTTAGACTGCTAGACTATAAACTTAGTAGTGATATTAAAGATATCATAAAAGCTGAAAAGGATCCACCAAAAGCTAGACTCAAAACTTACTTTCATGATTTCTGAATCAATAAAAGATATTCAAGGAGTTACTGTGAGTAACAAAAACAGGTTTTAAGAACCCAAACCAGCAAAGCTCAAAGTAATAATGTCATGCAAAGCACGAAAAAGCTGCATTGCAAGCACAACCTCCATAGGAGTGTCAAGAAAACTAAACTGACAAGCACCACAAGAGCATCCAGATATGTACAACTATCCAATAGGTTACCTCTGTCTGATGGAGATCCCATCATACATCACAAAGGAAAGAAAACTGGTTAACCAATTGAAAACAGTACTACCAAATGAATCATCATGGTCTTCTTAGTAAACCAATTCCAAGTTCAAAGCCTGTACTACATATTTGCTCTTTTGGATGATACAATAACCATAGAAATGTAAAAATCCACACGTGGTATAAAAAACAAAGAATGATTTTACTATGATTTTGATAGCAGGTTCTATTTAGGAAAGGGCTTGTTTAACTTAACCTATGGCAGACAGAAGGCATGGTCCTGCTGGACAGCATTTGGAGATTACTTTTTTGAGTTGGCAACAGAAATGAACACATAGTCCAGTATGTTCAAATTAAGGTTAAATAGATTTTATACCAAACTTAATCTATCAAGAGATTAAAAGCAAGATTCAGTGAAAAAGCTATCAGATGATAATGATAACATCAAAAATTTTCACTGATAAGTTAATGTTTTAATTTCTCAAAATAAGAGAACAAGTTATCCAGAAACAAAGCATGTGAATAGGAAAAAATACACAAAATGAGAATAGGCTTTCAATGGCACAGCCAGAATAACAAATGTTATTACTAGCCAGAATAACAAATGTTTATACAGAAACTGAGTACTTATAAAAGTACTTAAAATGACAGAATAAAGTTAAGGAGAAATTACTGATAAAACAGTATTTATTTTGTAAAGAAATAAATAATACATTGGGAGCCAAAGATCGAAAAACAGTCAGAGACAGTGTGAAATGACTCAGCTAAGTCAAAGAGGAATATGTATCATTTTAAAAACAATTATCTGGACCATGCCACTGCATAACAAAGAGAAATTAATTTTGTGGCTAATTTTTGAGATAATTTCAAGCTCAGAAAAAAATGGGAAGATCTACCAGACTCTTGCATGCTTTTTTTGCTCAAATCCGTCGATATTCTACATATCATTCTATTTTTCAACCATTTTAAATATCTTCTTTTACTTTATTTTAAAGTTGGAGACATGTGCCCCTTCATATTTAATACTCCAGGATATATTTCCCATGAGAAGACATTTTCATACATATTACAGTAAAAATTTAATAGCATTCAATAGACAGCAGTAAATATACATATATTACTGTCTGTATTGTCAAATAAACTGGTTTCTTTTATAGGTATTTTCCTTCTACTTCAGGATGCATCAATAGCATTTGGCTGTCAAATCTCTTTCGCCTCCATTAATCCAAAATAGCTTTCTTTGCCTTTATTTTTTCCTTTTGCAGTTTATTATTTTTGCTTGTGGTAAAATTCACCACTTTGAACATTTAACTATATACTGTGTGGGCCTCTGGGTTTGCCTTCTTTCACATAACAATATTTTCAGGGTTCATCCATTTGTAGCATAAATCAGTACCTTATTCCTTTATATTGTCAAGTAATATTCCGTGGTATATATTACCATGATTTTTGCATCTAGTCATATACTGAAGGATGTTTGGGTTGTGTCCATCTTTCACCTTTTGTGAATAGCACTGGTATGCAAATACATGTAGAAGGAATTGTTTCAGTATCTTTTACCAATTCTTTTGATATCTAGGAGGGAGTTGCTGGTTCATATAGTAATTACATGTATACATTTTTGAGAATCAACCAAACTGGTAAGCAATACCATTTATGAACTTTAGGAATGATATGGAAGCATATTCCAAGAAAAACAACCTTATTTAATAGAGTGATAGTAATGTTCATTTTCTCTCACTACCTCTGAGGCAGGTTGTTACTAATGAAAATATATGTTAATATGTATTTTTCATGATGAAAATTTATTGTAAGAATTTGTATTTAATTCAGGTAATAACTTCAGTATAAATAATATAAGTTAGAGATTTCTCTATATAAAAGTTAAAAGAAATAGAATATATTGAGTATATTCATTTCTATTCTAAGGGCAAATAGTGTGAGATTAACTAATATATTAAAATATCTATTTGGTTAAAAAAAACTTGTATTTAAGGGACTAAGGGAAAACTTATTTCATATTAAAGTTCCTGCACTAAGATCTAGCAATAGTTCAGTATATATTCTGAAATTTTAACAGAACTGGTATCTTAACAGATTGTAACTGTTGATACTTTACAGAATATTACCTATCAAACTCTACTGCATTACTTGGAACTTTAAAATCAAGGCTGTGAAAGCAGAGTGTAGATCCACAGAGGAGAATAGCATTTTATTCAACTTACTGGTAAGTATTAGCTCTTTTTGGAAAACAAAACAATGCAGAATACTTCAAAGCAAGGTGTTCACTGAGTTAAATGAATTAATTTTAATTGTTTTATTCAACTACTTGGTCTAGTTTTAGATCTTATTTGCTACAAACTTTAAAACAAAGCTAGCTATATAGTCACTATTGCTAAGCTATTCAAATGACTGACCTCAAGGAAAGGTAATACCTTTACTGAAAGTAAATACCTTCATAAGAACCATGATATTGATCTCAATTGTACTATTGAAGCTTTTTTAGATAAGACTTAAACAGAGCAAAATGAAATACTATACATGTATAATTGCTATACTTCTCAGTGAGTTTAAAATATGAAATTTTTATTGTCTTTTTAATATATCTATTTTCATTATTGTTCATTTTACAGTGCTTACTTCCCCTCTCCCCCACCCATCATCACTATAACCCCCCACAGTTCTCTCCTTATCCCTCTCTGTTCCCCTCCCCTGTAGGATCTCTCTGGTTTATAACTTTTTGTTTTGTGGTGTTTTGTATTATAATAACAATATACTCCCTCCCCTTCCATCTTATTTGTAAAACCTGAATTGTTTTTAACAGAATGACTTGTTGCCAATATATTCTCACTGGCTTCTGACCAATTACATAAATGTACAAAACACATGGCTAAAGTTGCAGGTAGCATCAGGAGTCCTGGGATTGGACATGATTTAAAATTAAACAGATACGATTAAAACTTATTTATACAATGTGCTCAATCAGCAAATACTAACTGTTGTAGGACTGATCTAAATTTAGGCTAATAATTTTGCCTTCTAGGACTCAAATGGATGAAGCCAAAGTGAAAAATCCTATGTGGAGTTTAATGTCACTATTTATTCTAGTTAGGTCTAGTTTTCAAATTCTAACTTTTGAAATGAACCTTATCTATCAAATAGAAGTTGATGAACTCTGTGGGCAAAACAGATACTTATATACCATCTAGAACCTTAAGACATTGCTAGAATATAGAAAATAAGACAAAGAACATAACCTTTATCATTTAAATTAAGTCAGTCTTTTATGAAACTGAAATAATTGGATTTTTTTAGTATTAACATTTCTTTTTACTGCTGAAATTCAAAGTCTCCCTAATATTTCAAATAATAGAAAAAACAAATAATTATAACATGCTTTCTCCAGAAAGTGAGATTTTGCTATATCATTCCCAAAAGATAAATAACATTTCTACCTAAGGTGGAGGTTAGGGTAGGGAAGGTGAGAATGTTAGGAGGAGAGAGAAAAACCAGCAATTTCCTCATGCAATTTCCTTATATTTTGTTGTTTAGTTGTTACATAGATAGATGCCAAAGCTTTGGTCAGAAATCAATCTTAAACAGTCACACTATTCCCAACGAAATAAAAAATGCTGCACAGTTTAAATATGAGTTATTTTTCTCCTCACGCCTAGCTGAATTTGCAAAAAGGTAAGAATTTGGTGCTATGTCAGATAAAAATTAAGTATTTTTCTTAATTTATGATTTCTTCTCCTGACTCAGAGTTTCCAAATTTTTCAAAGGCAATACTGCATCTGAGGCAAACAAACATAAATTACTGTGCAACAAACTGTGGAAGGTGAATGCTTAAGATACTATAAACTATACTCTGCCAGGAAGCAATTCTCTTTTCAGTCCCAATTCTAACCACATTAACTCTGAAAACAACTCAAAATACCTAGAATGCAAATATTTCTAATAAAAATTTTGTTAACTAGATGTCCACAGAGAAAATGAATGCAAATGGAGATGTTTTTAAAAAAGTGGCAGAAGATCTGAATAAAGAAATGATAAAAATTCAAAATCCCAATGAAATAGCATTAAATTCAAGGAACGGCTACAACTTCATTTAAATGATTTGTTTCAGTCCTCAGTAATTGATGAAGTGTTACCAAAACCTTAGAAGGGGAAATCTTCGATTCTATTATTCTTGATCACATTATGCATGTACACTTAGTTCAAAGTATCTCTGGGTGGATCTGTGTTTTACCATTATTCACTATCTGCTACGTAAATCAAAAAATTTAGCGTTTAATTTTGAACACTCAAATCAACAACTGCTAAAAAAGCTGTCTCGAAAAGAACTGTCCTCAGACAGTAGCCAAGATCTTAGTCATAAGGGTCTAAAAGGCTTCCCTGTCATTTCATGGGAAAAAAAATTCATGTACAAAATTTGAAAAATAAGTTGCTATATTACTTTACCCTCTTCCACTTGAAAAAAAATTATTGCAAGAAAAGTTACATCTTAAGAACAAAAAGAGTTTTCACTTTGAAGATCTCACATGTCAAAGTGAATCTCAAATCTTGTTTCAGGAAGGAAAAGCTAAACATGAAGATGTTAATAAATGTAATGGTTAATCATGTTTATGCTTTCAAATCAACAATGATAATAAACCAAGTGGGTTCAGTAACCCCAAATTCAAACACGACAGAACATAAAATAAAAAAAAAATGTATTTAAAGACATCTTAATATAAGTTTGAATATTTGGGAAAACTAAACAAACTAAACACCTCGAGAGAGTATTTAATGATAATAGCACTTCTTTTTTCAATCTGAATAATCAAGCATGTAGGTTAAGTTAACAGACTTAGTGGTGGAAGTCAGAGACTGGAAAGAGATATTATCAGTACTCCTCACAGCAATGTAATAAGTATTTGATACCATTCTTAAGGTGCATTTGAAGAACAGTATTCTATGCTACCAGAAAAACAAAATGATTCCAGCCTTTCCACAAATAATAGGAAATTAACATGCAAAGGATAAATCTGTGTAAGGAAGCAAGCAAGAAAGCCTTCTTCTATAAAGTAATTGCTGACTGATCTTTGGAAGCTTAAAGTACTAGTGTCACCAAAATGAATGATATTTATAGAACTCAATGTAGACAATTCCCCCAGAATCTACTCTAAGGGGAAAAGAGCTTAATACCTTTAATATAAAAGCTATTATTAACAGGATATCCTTAAGCATACAGTAACATTCAATTTTGAATCTTTGATCTAGAATAACCATTACTTTCCACAAAGTTTAAAGACTGATGCTCTTTTGACAAGTATAGTGGCTGACAACTCAACACTACAAATTCCAGAGACTTCTAAGCATTTATTAATTCCTGTATCTTTACTTAGTTTTTTGGTGAGGACACAATCTAAGGCAGGTCACTTTAAATCTTTAAACTTTAAGCTATACAATTATCAAGGTGAGAAAGTTTTGGCTGCCTCCTGCAAACTGTCTTGCTATAATTAGAGAACTGGAAATGGTTTTTCTCAATCACAGGTGTTATCATCACATAGGATTACTCTCCTGAGCACCCTGTGTGATGCTGTGTCATAACTATTCTAAAACAAAATCTCCAGCATTGGAAACACTGATAATTGGATTATAAATGAATTATTTCAACAAAGTGATTTAAGGATCTGTTGGTTTGTATCAGAATGCAGTTAAAGACAAAGGTAAGTTAATCTACAGTAACAATAACAGGATGATTGGTTTGAGGGTTTGTTTGATAAGGAGACTACTAAAAATATACCCCATTTCAAATCAAGGAAGCCAGAAAAAATTTCTATAAAAAGTGCACCCTGTGATTTTCATTAAATTTTAAATAAAAAGGTGTTTTTCATCATATAGTCTAATTTATATTTTATTAATAAATGTTAGAGAAGTGCTTTTTAAAAATGAATAAATTTTAATAGTTCATAACTAATTAGTTTAAGGCTTTGAACATAAATGTAAAAAGTACTTCTTAGATGTGCTTTTGAAATTCTCCTTTGCCCATCTACAACTTTTCTAAATAATCTCTTTTCCCTTTTAGTCATTTTATTGAATAAAGTGCAACTAAAAAATTGCCTAACTGTATTTATTAAGAAATTTATTAAGAAAAAAAGGTTGTTATTTACTTACAAGTCACTGTTGTTTCACCATTCCTGTTTGAGTTCACCAAGTAATGCAACATCCCAAATAAGACTATTTAAATGACCCAATCAACTATCCTTTATACAACATAGTGATTAAAAAGTTTCTTCTGCACCACATATAATGCTAAAACTTCCTTTTAAAGTATGCTTGGTACCATAGTCTCAAGGACTTAATGCAGTTTTCAAACTGTCATATTAAAGATAAAGCATGTTAATTTAAAGTGACAGGAACTGAATCATTCTTATGGGCGCAAAGGAAGGACACGAGCATGCATTGAACCTTTGTCCCTGAAGCATTTCTATGTATTATGGAACACTAGTTATTTAAAGCACATGCTGCTGAATCAGTACCTGCCAGAAATCCTGATCAGAAGATGAGAAAAAGAAAAAAAAAATTCACATTGATTGTAAGAAAACTTCCAAATCAAATCCATACACAGCACAAAATAGTATATAATATCTAAGGGACCAAATACAACCTGTAATAAAATCACTGAATACCTGGAAATAGGAAATGAATAATATTTCACATATTATCTCCTAAGATTAAAAAATATTTACACAGACAAAAAAAAAAAACCTCTAATGACTCATACCTTATCTCATCAAATTGAAACTGATAGAAAAGTTTCACATAACTATAAAAATATGACTAATCACTTTTTTTTGACTAATCCTTTTTAAAGAAAAAAGAAAGTTAATATTTAATTTTTATGGACAGTTAAAGCATTTCTTTAATGACAGTTTCCTGCTAGATGTATTAGTTCATGATTATAATATTTAAATAAGTTTTTGATGTAACTTTGCATAGCCTTACATAGTTCCAGGTGTTCATCATTACAAATCAACATCTGTATATACTACTTTAAATTCGCCACTACCAGCCCACTTCTATCTGTCATACAATTGATCCCTTTTACCCAATTTACCCAGTCCCTATACCCTTTCCCTTCTGGTAATCACTAATTTGGTATTATAGTCTAAAAGTTTATTTTTGCTTTGTTTATGATATGTTCATCTGTTTTCTTTCTCTTTATCACATACGCATGAAATCATATGGCTTATGTCTTTCTCCATTTGACATGGATATAAGTTTTTAGCTTCATGATAAATTTGTTTCCTATATGTTAACATATAGGAAATCATATTCAAATGAGTTCAGAGGATTAGTATCTATGCTGAAGAGCTCAGAAACACATTTCCTATAAAACGATGTTGTTCTAAATTAAGTACTAACCACATTACTAATAAAAAGCCAGGCATAATGGATGCTGGCTTTTGAGGAAGTAGTTAGGCTATCTAATTTATCAATGCAAAATATCCTCAAATATCAAATGGTTTTAAAGAATTTTTTAAGTAAACCTCACTGAAATAAAATCTGACCTCAATTCACCACACTTCTTAAACCATGCTTAAGAGCATGATATAACTTCATGACTGAAAAATACATGCTATTAGCAATTTATAAGCCTAAGGATAGGACTGAATGTCACAGATTATCAAAGGACTTTACAGCACAGAAATAAGATGAGTCACTGTGAACAGAGAATAGCTCAACATGGGAAATCAAACCAGAGGTCTCTCTTAGTTCATGAACTAGCTATTGAATCTAGGACAATTGCTCAAGACAGAGACAGAAGAAGATTTTTATTTTATTTAACTGTGGAGGAAAGAACCATGGAGAGAGCAATTATTCTGTAGCATTTCATACAAACCAAGCAGATAACTCGCTCTCACAGCTACAATTTGTAGTGGCAGATACTGTACTTATTATTCTGACTTTTTACAAAGAAGGTAGCTGACACTCAGACAGGTCAGGCAGTTGTTTGTCCAAGGTAACCCATCAAGAATAGAGCCTGTATCTGAATACAGGATTGCCTTGTATCCTATATCCATTCATACTCTTTCTATCCTGTGCTATTATACACTAAGATGTATAGTAACCTTCTATTCTTACAGTATTATAAAAACAAAACATTTTCATGCAATGTATTTTTCATATTCAATTCTACATACTTATAATCATTTCTACTAATCACTTAAATACAGCTGCCAAATACTAAGATACTTAAAGTGGAAATTCCTTGAATTCCTTGTATATTTTAGGCCTTAAAATATACAAATGAACTAGAGTTGCTGATTTGCAAAAAAGACAAGAAATTGACAAAATGTTTAAAAGGTGATTTAAAGAACTTTGGGTAGGAAAGATGGAAAATGAAAACTATTGAGACTAAAAATAAAACAGACAATTGCAAACAGGTTTCAAGATATTTTCTGAAATGCTGAATCAGAATGTTGAATAAATACTCAATAGTATTTATTTGCCCCTCTTCTAATTTATATTTTCTTGATCTATAGTGCATTTTACTCTTAGGAGACAAGCAATCCCTCATATAACTTACTATACATGTTAACAATACTACTATACCTTATTCCAAATTCATACTTTATCCACAATATAAGTAAATAGCCACAACTCTACATTCTTGTGGGTAACAAAGGAAACAGAAATAAACATATTAATTCTGTCTTCCAAATTGGAGGACTCTAGGGGACGTAATTCTAAATAATGAAAAAAACCTCAATCTGTAAGTATGAGTGGGGGAAAAGGAAATCTGATAGGGAGGAAAGAATTAAAATATCTATTTTCTGAAAACAAACATAAGGTAGAAAGACAATGATGGACAATTAGTGTTAATAGGAAATTTGCTGTTACTTGAAAATAGAGTATGAACTTAGCAGTTTTTAGAAAAGACATTACATCAAAAATCTGCGTGTTCTTTGCTAGAGAACAAGCTAGTTGGTGCTGCTTAATGATTTAAATTCTACTTGTCTTTATGTGAGACTATCATTGTCCCTCTTTCAGAACCTGTTCCCTCAGTACCATGAAGCAAGTTTTCATATGCCTGACTTTTATACAACACTATATACTGATTTCCCTAAGTCTTGCCTTTCCTACTTCAATTTCAGAATTTTATGGCTCAGTGCACAAACATTTACAACTATAATGTTCAATCTGCGTTCCAAACATAAAAGCACTGTCATTTTTGTCTCCTCAGCAAAGTAGATACCAAACTCTTTGTTTTTATGCATTTTACTTGTTATTTTATAAACATAAGTGGAAATCAGAAAACATAAATGATGAATGTTAAGAAATGTAGAGTTCATAAATTTAGAACAATTGAAACAAAGATGGGGCTCATTAGTCATGCCAAGAGCTGCACATTTTTAGCACTAAAGTAGTAGTTACTATTCAAAACAAAAGAATATGTATGCTCTTTATATATGTATGGGCTGCCATTAGAGATTTTTGTATTTGGGATGTCGCTAGGAATGGGAATTCCCCTAATGACATGGAAGTTTGGTGTTCAACATACATTCAACTTCATTACATGTTTTCAGGTTTACAAATGTATAATAGAGGAATTCTCATACTATCCCAGATTCCATCAGTGAACAACAAAAAAAGTGATTTGTTAAACTGATTTTGCTATTTGATATTACTGACTTTAATGAGTCCTGCCCAAAGAATATGTGATTGGCTAATTGATTTTTTCCAAGTCATCAAACATTTACTGTCACTTGCTGTGTGCCAGGCATATGCTGGATTCTGAGTAGCACAAAGACAGGCAAGAGAACGCCTGACCTGGCAAAGACTCTGAAATCAGATCCTGACATCAATATCTAAAGTAACCCTTCTCAAGGATATGACACTTTAATCATACATGAAGCAGAGATGTGTGTGTGATACCAAGATACCAAGGATAGGAAATAAGATATGATTGTTCCTAAAAGAGAGCTAGAACTCTGAACCTAAGTCTCTTAACTCCTAGTTTAATGTCCTATTTTTCTGGATAGTCTTTCTCTTAAAATATATGAGTTTAAAATTAGGATACCCCAATGAATGCACTATGCCATCTGAATGGGAAAGGTAATTTTTACACAGGTAGTCTTGGCTGAGAGCACTCAAATCTTAAGTTAGTCCACTCATTCTTTCCACTTGTACAAAAAGACATCAGCACTTCTTTCCTCACTTTACCAAGATAGGGAGGAGTTCCATAAAATGATGCAGAACTGACACATTCTGCAAGATACTTTCTGCTAACCCTGACCAATACCCATTTAGACACTCTTTTGTGTTCCTGCCTTTTCCAGCCACTCCATGACTTTCATTCTGATTTCATTCTCTTTAAGCTTTAGAGAGCGAATTCTGGCTCTTCCTTCTTTATGCTGTGCTTTCTTCCTCCTCTTAAAAATTGACCTTTTACTTTTCTTTCTGGCCCTGTGTAATATTTTCTTTTTCCTTTTGAAGTATTCAACCTGAAAGGGAAAAACATGTTTGACTGCTTTATAAGATAATGAAATTGAAAATTTCATTTTCTATGCTTAAGAATGAATTGTGGGACACTCAGGTATAAAGAATTGCAAATTTGGTGTGGACTTCATAATAAAATACTAGCAAGGACTTCAGTAATTTTCTAATTTAGATTACTGATACATTCTATAATGTTTGAAAAAGGTCAAATCAGAAAATCAGATAGGTGGTTTTATAAGAAATGCAAATATAATACTTGCAGCTTGTTAACCTTTATGAATGGCTATTAAATTAAAATTCAATACACTGAATTAGCCCCTTATATATATATATGTATGTATATATGTATGTGTATATATATGTATGTATGTATGTATGTATGTATATGTATGTATGTATATATATATATATATATAGGGCAACCAATAATTGTACATTACATGAAAAAATACAGAAATACCTGGTTGATTCCTTCTGTAGAAGCATCTGAAGGTACTTGTAGGTAGCCTAAACTAAGCAATATGCTTTTCAATTAGATAAACAGTTATTCAGAAATCTCTCACATGTAATTCTAGAGGAAGTTTAAAATCTTCTAAGTAAACAACAAGGTACATATGCTTTTCTCACCTTTCCATCAAAGCGTTTTATTATATACTGATCCAGGCCCAAGTCTGTAAAAGAAAAAAAAATACGTAGTCACTGATTATAATTCAAGTGAAACATATACAATGACAGCTCTCTCTCTTTTCCACCCCCAATCATTCAATCAAATCTATCAGATGATTTTGTTATCCTCAGGCCATAGGAATGAAAACTTTATCCCACTTTCAAACCCAAAGTGTCAGTGCTAAAGGATACCAAGCTTCTAGCTTATATATAAGACAGTCAGGCTCTGAGAGGCAAAAGAGGGTTAAGAGTTCAAACCTTTAACAGCAAAGTCCAACTACAGCTCTGGATTTTTTGCAGGATGGCACCCTTTTCATTAGGATCAAGGTCCTGCATTACTTCTAGATAAAGCAAGGGATCTTATAGTTTAATTTTAAAGTATAGTAATATTTTTTGTCAAGTTAAAGAGAGAAGAGTTAAATACAAAAAGAATTTTGCAATATACCAGACACAGATTGTCTTAATATTACCTTTTAAAGTTGGGCTAAATAATAAACATTTCCTTGAGAATAGCTAGCACTGAGTTCTAAGGCACTGTGCAAATAATTGTGTTAAGTGCTCTTGAGGGCAGTGGTTTTTTTGCTTTGCTTATTGCTTTATCCCCAAACGCGGAACAGCGCTTGGTCAATAAATATCTGTAAAGAGTAAGTATGTCCCCTATCTTGTGTAGTCACAACTTAGTTAGAAAGACATATGCATAGAATAATTAATATTAGGGAGCATACAATTAGGTGGCACTTGGGAATTTTTATAATAATCATTCCCAATTATACTTAATTCCCCCCCCCCTTAATTCCTGAGTTCTTTTCTTTCAGTTCTTAATATATTTAAGTCAATCTAGGCCCTTATCTCATTATGCCCATATTATGACAACAATTGGATAATTGCTGTTCCCAGAGGAAATATTTTACATTTATGTTTCTACATATTTGGTTACACAGTTTAAACTCTATCTCCTTATGTAAAATCTAGGGTTTTCTTTGGTTTGGTTTTGTCTTTTCCTTTGCTGTGTAAAGAATCTATTTTAAATGTAATAACATAGACAGGTTAAAAGTAAAAGGACAGAAAAAGATACACCATGAAAAACTAATCAAAAGAAAGATGTTAACAAACATCAGACTATGTGAACTTCAGAGCAAAACACGTTAGCAACAATAAAGAAAGGGGTTCATTTCACCAAGAAAGCAGACTAATCTGAAAATGTGTAAGCATCTAATAATAAAGTTTCAAAATATTTGAAGCAAAATTGATAGAACTGAAAGGATGAATAAACAAGTCCCCAAAGTCAGAGATTAATGGCCTCCTTTCAATAAATGTCAAATAGAAAAATCAGAAAGGATATGGAAACTAGAAGGTTGCCTAGGACTTGAGAGCAGAACTAAGTGGGAAGGAGGCATTACAAGTGGTGTAAAGGAACTTTTGGGGGTGATGAATATGTTCAGTATGTTGATGGTGGTGGTTTCATTAACATGTAGTACAGGTAAATCAAGCTCATTAAACACCTTATATATATATATATATATATATATACTCATATATACACACTCTACTTATTCTTTACATGTGGTGTAAAGGAACTTTTGGGGGTGATGAATATGTTCAGTATGTTGATGGTGGTGGTTTCATTAACATGTAGTACAGGTAAATCAAGCTCATTA